ACAAGTGAAATATAAAGTAGATGAGCAATAACACCAATCTAAATAGGTAGTAAAATCACAAATCTAAGGCACTTTAAAGCAGCAGGTGAAGGGAGCAAATACAAATAAAACAAGAACACAATATAATGCAGAGAGAATATATGCTATGTGGGAGCCATGGAGTGTAAATACTCAGCAGTCAGTGTGCAATTATGCATGTGCAAAATGAACAGTACAGATGGAATTACATGAGGTAGATCCTGAGTCAGCTGTTTAGGAGTCTGATGGCAGAGGGAAAGAAAGAGTTTTTCAGTCTAGAGGTCCTGCATTTCACACTTCTGAACCTCTGACCGGAGGGTAGGGGTATAAACAGTCTGTGCTGGGGATGGGTGGGGTCCTTGAGGATGGAGGCAGCTTTCCTACGCACCCTGCGGTGGTAAATGCTCTGCAGAGAGGGTAGAATGTTACGTAGGAGATTTTGGACACAGCCACAGATAACATGCACTCTCATGCACCAGTAGAGGTGATCAAGCTCACAGTGGAGGTGATGTTGGCCAGTTAAAGCTCAGAACATTTCTGTGCCCACAATGTTAAACAAACATGGCATCAGTGAGGAGTGTGTTAATGTTGGATAAACTGAGACTTTCTGAAGAACTGAATCGATATGAAGCAACTGTGTTTCTTTCCTCAAGCCGTCACTGATTAACACTTAACCCACAACAGTATGACTGGACAATAATCCTCAGTGCAACAGCCGTAACTATACATTGTACAGGTTATACAGATCCGTACAGGTCTCTATTTTTAAGTACTCTATATTTTTATTCTTAGTCTTGTTTTCTAATGAATATTCCATTATCTGTTAGCATTGTTTATTATATTGTTTATACTGGTTACTTTGTTATACTATACAGCTACTGAATCAGATGTATAATTAAAACCTGACAGCAGAAATATCAAGACTGACAAAGAGAAAAAAGTAGAGAATGCAGAGGTTAGTGTGAGGAAGTGACGTCTCCCTGATCACAGAAGTACATAGGCATCATCTTTAAGAAGCAGCAGTTCAGACAGCTTTGGGTGAGAACCAGAGACACATGAGAGAGAGAAG